CCTATCCCCTGTGTGCCTTGCCTCCCACGACTTAAGAAGAATTTATTAAAATACGCATAAGAAATGAAGTATTTAATGTTTTGTCTATTTGTAACTATTCCAACAACTCGAGGCCATGTGTTTTTTATGTGCATTTTAAAATTAAATGAAAAAATATGTGTAACGTGTTAAAAAATTTATCTAATAACAACAACAACAATATGCTAATACATGTGTGATTATGGTTTTATTATCATAATTATTTCTAAAAATAAACAATTTCAATCAATAGGGGGCAATTGGTAATAATAATTAAGCCATATGGGGAGCTTTCAAATGCTTATTATTGATGATGAAATTATAAATGGAGCCTGTTTAATAGGAAAATTTATCAAAATACACTTTAGTGATAAACTATTTAATATTTTGTTCATATTTTTTAAATTAATTTTAAAAACACAATTAAATGCAAAGTTCGAAATGTTGATATGGGTAAAATGTTAAATAGTTGATGAATTGGGTGTATTTTGTATAAATTTTCCTTGTTTGTAATGATGACCGTATGTAAAATATTAGTGAAAAATGCAATAAAATGAATTTCAGACCTAATGCCTGATCATTTCCATATTGTTTATTAGCTGACTAGTAGAAGCTTAAAAATATGGCATATTCTTATAGGAAGCCTTCCAAAAGGCCGGCACAATCTTGCATTAATGAAATGGATCATGAGAAAGTAAAGTTTAAGAAGGAAATTAGATGACTATTAATTGTGACAAAGATGTTTTGTTGCAAAAATAACTAGCAGAGCATTTGTCAAAAGCCAGATCCATAGCTTCCTCCCAGGCAAGGGCACTAACCGTTGGATTTGCACATATCTGCACAGAAGAAAAAGAAAAATGCCAAGAATTAAAACCTTTTAGACTAAGTAATTTTATAGAGTGAGCTTTCTATTTACTCCACACACACATAATAATTTATATGCATTTGGCTACATCCAACTGTTTGATCAAAATTGGGCAACTTGGGAATGAGTTGTCAATACTTTCACAAATTTGTTATGGCCTAATGAATATAATTTGTGCGAGCGAGTGACATTGTTTTCAGCTCACTTCCTGCCACCCCATAAAAATTGAACAGTCATGAATCTCCAAACACAACGATATGTACATGTTGGGATACACAAAAAGGTTTGCTTTCTCTACGTAATTGTTCAAATGAAATAATCGTTGATAAAAAATAATGCATAGATACTTACATTTCCCTTCCATTCTCTACAAGCCTGAGCCCACCAAGCAGGGCCATGGCCATCTATTTTTCCAGACCCATTAATTGTGAGCCCATTAATATGGGAGAATACAAGCCATGTTTCTTTACGAGCACCATCCCATGAAGAAGGTGGTGGCCCCAAAATATCTCCTTCTACCTACAAAAAAATTTAAATTTTCATTACTTTTGCTCCAAAATGGTTTATGATCAAAATGTACTATACAAACTGTACCCCAGAGATGAACTATTAAGTATTTTACTCTTTTTTTTTCATTTCAAAAATCCCATCGAAATACACATGATCTTGTCATAGTTGAAAATGACTAAAATGTTAAGAGTATTCAATAAGCTTGGTGTATTTTGATAAATTTCTATAATTATAACTTAAAGCATACAAATGTGGAAAATGTAGTATAATATAAGGAGTGAGTCCACAGTAATGGAAGAAAGTAATACGTATTTACATTAACATGAACATCATTGGATTCACATGGTCCTGTAAACTGAAGTGGTCCAACACTGAACAAGTTTCCTGAAGGAATTATCATCTCTGGTGAGCCTTTTGCACTGCAAGCTGCATTCCATGCCTTGGAAAATGCCTATAAAAAAGAACAAATGTGAGTCCCAAGTCAATCAAAAGGAAGCAAGATTTTCAGTTTTGGATATTGTTTTAAAACTTGGGCAAGTCTACTCGGACTAGCCTGAGTATTTGGAATCGGCAGGGTGCCGGGGGCACAAAAATACCAGTTAAACTTGACTCTTTCTTCAATTTAATTTTACTCGGATGAGTCTATACAGAAGACTCAGACTCAGGATCCTGTCTTGTCCCAAGTCCGAGCCATTTTTTAAAATATTTATTTTTGGGTGAATAGATGTCAAGAAATCATGGATATTTTTGAGATTTGGAAGAGCAAATGAATATGAAAGCATGAGTGAGAACATACATCAGTATCATCTTTCATGCCATCACCCTTGGCTCCATAATCCATGACATCAAAGCTCTCGGAAGTAGAAGAAGAGTCCGATAAGGGAAGAATCCTAGCCCCACATAGACCAGCCAAACACCAACACATGAATAGAGCTAAAATTGTGTATTGAGCCTGCAAGAGAGAGAGAGAGAGAGTTGAAACCCCATATTAGGGAGAGGGAGAGAGAGGTAAAGAATAAGGATCTCCAAAATTTGAAAACCAAGCAAAATTGCCAAGATGAAACCTAGTTTTTTAGCTTTTAAAACACCATCTCTCAATGTACAGTGGCACTAAAAAGAAAGTTGAAGTAAGAAACAATACTAACCATTGAAAACCATGAGAGGGAAAAAGAAGAGAGACAGAGAAATCAATAGTTCTTTATTGCATGAAGGGTTCAAGGGGTCCACTTTATATAGAGCCATGGACTGCACAGCCATGGCCTATGTATAGGACTTAGCCAAATTTAGCAAAATCAGTTATTTGGTTTACATATGTAGGCTAAAGATTCTACGTTACTAATTACCGTTTGGTTTAATTTTGGAATGACTAACTTGCCCCAGCCTTTTTCTTAGTTAATCTCTTAATTATAGCTTAATGACAGTGATTATTAACTAAGAAGGTATTTGATAATTTGGGCTTCAAGGAAAAAACGCCCTTAAATAAGGGGAACTGTCTCTTTTGGCTCAACTAACCTTCATCACCTAAGAGAGAGAGAATACCAGATTGAAGGCGTGTTTGATAACCAGGAGGTAGATGTTACCTGGAAATTATAAGCTTTTTTTTTTTAAGAAAAAAGAAGTTATTTAGAAATATAAAGTAGTTCTAGGTACCTGTGTTTGACAACATGTTGAACTATAAAGTCATGTTTACTTAAATATTACTAAACTATTATTTTTATATTAGACATAAAACAATATATAATATCTATTATATTTTGGGCAAGCTTTCTATGCTTCCCATAGAAGTTCTACCCTCGCCCTTATCCAACCGTCCATTCTGAATGGAGGGTTAAGATTGTTCCAATCACAATGTCACGTCTCTATACTGTTTTATTTATTTTATTTTTTCTATAAACTGTTTTGATAACAAATTTTGGATGTCCATTCCTCTATTAAACTCGCACTAGCGAAAAATATAAAAAAATATATTTTCAATAAAATTAAATGACCAAAATACCTTTGAAAGATTCAAAGGGTATTTTGGTCATTATATTTTATCAAAAAATAATTTTTTAATACTTTTTATGCGTGCGCCCCAATGAAAAGATGGCACATACCAAATTTCATATTCATACAATTTGTATAAATAAAGCTAAAAATAAAATACTTTGAGATGTCGGATCTAAGATCAAAAGGTGAATGGCTCTCTTGATCA